GGGGCGGGGGGCGCGGGGCTGGGGAGCGCCGGCAGCGTCTGTTTCCGGTGGCTGCCAGGACCTCCCCGGAGGAGGCGTCAGTGAGGGCGGGACGGGTCCCCCCACCCCCCACGTCTCAGAAGCATTTCCCGGGGAGGGGGCTTCGCACAGCTCTAGCCCTTTGAAACAAGCCTTTCCTCTCTGCAACCCCATTTCTCAGGTAAGAAAACTGAGGTCCAGCTAGGAGAAGCCTCTCTCTGGGGTTCCCGCCCTCACTTTTAATGCACTGATCATCACGTCCCAGGCCCTCCCAGGCTCACCGCCTCTCCCCAAGTTCCCACTTTACAGACAGGGAAACTGAGGCCCAGCCACAGCTGTGAATATAGGGGAATCAGGGGCACCTCAGCTTGAGAATTTAAGGCCAGACCCCAGAGGGACCCCACCGCCCTCCAGTTCTCTTGCTTGTGGGTCTGGAGGGCGGACTCTGAGCACAGCTCTTGAGTTTACACTCCAGCCTCAGTTTCCCAGTGTGTAAAGTGGGGCTGATACGGGAACCCCCTTTACAGGGTGAACGGACACTCCTAAGAGAGTGGCCAGCACCCCCCACCTTGCCTCTGCCAGGGCATGTGGGCCGCACCTGGGCGCCTCCCACGCAGCCCGCCCACACGCACATCTGGAAATGCTCCACGCCGCTGGCTTCACGCAAGCCGGAACGGAAGGGGGGTCCGAGGTCCCATCCCCAGGGCCATGTGGAGGAGGGGAGTCCTGGGCCATCTCATGCCCAGGCCAGACACTTTTGAAGCCTGTCCTCCTCCCTGAAGCCAGCGGGGTGGGGGGTGGGGGAGCGTGGCAGTGAATTCGGGACCACCCAGCCAGGCTGGTCTGGGATTAATCACGTCCTAGTGGCCAGCTGGGCTTCCCTGATTCTTGCCTCATTCCTGCTCCCCTACCTGACCCCACCCACGAGGGCCTGACCCCGGGCCATGGTGTCTGCTGATACTCTCTCCTGCACCTTCTCCAGTTGGAGAACTCCTAATCATCCCCCAACACCCCAGCTGTAATGCCCACCTTCTCCAAGTCATGTCCCCACACCCCCTCTGGCACCCTGCAGGTTCGGCCCTGACCACAGACGGCTAGGAGGGTCCTCCCATCCACCCTCCAGGCCAGAGAATATGTCTGACTCATTCATTCTGCCTTTAGAGAGCTCCTAGTCTGATGTAGGAGGCAGCATTTCTCAGCACGTAGTCCAGAAGGCACATGCTTGTTAAACACTAAGCTGCAACCCCACCGCAGACCCCTGGAATCTGTGCAGTTAAGGGACCTGGTGTGGACATTTGGGAGTTACAGCCCAGAATGGCCAGTCAGGAAAATCTGCCTTCCCAGAAGTGAGGTGTAAGCTGAGTCTTTCTCCACCAGGTGATTCGGGTGGGAAAGGCCATCCAGGCAGATGGCTCGGTGTGAGGAGAGGCCCAGGAGCCGGAGACCAAGCTAGGGATCCTCACGACCTCTCCGTGCGACCTCAGCGGCAGGAGGCTGAAGCCTGGGAACTGAGAAGCCCCCTGCACAGCCTCCTGCACGCCCCCGGAGCTCACTCCCGCATGTTCCATGTTCCATCTTTCACCACACTGATTTGTTTTTGCTGGTCCTAAGCTGAGAGGCGCCCATCCTGCCCCTGACCTGGGCCAGTGCCCAGGGTCTCACCTTTGCACCGGGTACAATGGACAACACCCAGGAAGCCGAGGAGATTGATCTTGTTCCCAGACTGGGTGATGTTGGACCAGGCGATGTCGATGTTGCTGGAGTTACAGCACTCAGCCTGGCTCACGTTCGTCCTCAGCAACCGGCTGCAGGTAGCCTCCGGGCCCTGCTGGAGCCAGCAGGTGCCAGCTGTGGGCGAAAGGGACAGTTCCTATAGGCCACTCCTGATACCCAGCTCCTGGCCCCCAGGTATGCAGTCAGTTCTCAGGAGCTGTGGAGGGGATGACTGACTCCCAACCCAGGAAGGAGGGATAGAGAATCACACAGGTACCCCAACGCTGGCTCAGGATACTTTGGGGATCTCTCCCCCTCTCGGAGCTCCAACCCCCACCCCCGTCCCGGGAGACTCTCCCCGTTTCCTCCAAGCCCCCAGGCCTGGGGCCTGGCATCCCGCCGAAACAGCCAAACACCAGGGTCAAATACCAGGCACTGGACATGTAGGGTCAGTGGGCCCCGGAGCTGTTCTCCCGCCTCTGCCCTCTGTCTAGACAGCGCCCGTGGGCACGCGGAGCCCCCTCGCCTGGCAGCCCCCCCGCCGGCCGCCTCTTACTCACTCCAACTTGGGAACATTCCCCTTGCATGAGCTCACTGCCTCCCCGGGGATGCGGCCTTCGGGGAGGGGGCTCGGCTGTCGCTTCTTTGCGGGGGTGGGGTGGGGCTGCTGGGGGGGAGAATGCGGGGGACGGGGGCGGGACGGGGGCAGATGGTCCTCAGTTCCTTCACCCTTAGGTGGGGGCAGGAATGGCCCCAGCCCCAGAGTGCTCACTGATTCTCAGATGCTGCCCAGCGCCTTCCAGGGACTGTCTCTGGGAACCCAGTACCTTGGCACCCATCTTATAAAAGGGGAAACTGAGGCCAGGAGTAGGGATGTTTCTTGCCTGGCATCTCCCAGACAGTGTGAGATGCCCAATGCCCCGTCTACCTAAGCCAGACTGGGGAAGATCTAAGACTCCAGATGGAGGTCCTGGGTCCAGCCACCCAGCACCGCCTCTCTTGGGGCATCAGGACCCACCCACGGGGTCCCAGTTTGGATCCTGACTTTGCCACTTACAGGCTGTATGACCCTGAGCCTCACTTTCCCCCTCTGGAAAACGGGAGTGTTGAGATTACTCACACTGCTGGGCTGTTCCATGGATTCACGGAGGAAGAGGTAGACACTAAGCGCTCAATAAATGTCAGCAATCATGGTGATTACTAACCTCTGCCCTGCTGACCTCCTGGTGACCCTCCTTCGGGCCCTTTGGGGCTGGGGGAGGGGAGCCCCTGGCCCTCCCGGGTTCAACCTGCGCCCCGGTCCCCCGCCGCGTTCCGGGCAGGCCCACGTGGGTGGCCCGCCTCACCCGCCCCTTCCGGCCGCCCCACTCACCGGGCGCTGGGTCCCCCGAGCCCATGGAGCCCAGGAAGCCCAGGAAGCCCACGGCCCAAGCCAGGGCCACCCAGGGCAGTGGCGACAGTCGGCGCGGCGCTCCAGAACGCATGGCGAAGGCAGAGACGGCGGCGGACACGCGGCGGGCGGCTGGGCGGAGGCGGCACCGGGGCACCGACTTGCGGCGCTCGGCGGCCGCGCTCCCTATAAAGGTCCCGCTGGCCGCGGGGGCAGGGCACTCACGTGAACGGCCAGGTGCAAGACTGTGTCCCACATGCCATGTGCAGAGGCAGGGCATGGCCGCCCGGGGGTGGCAGGTAGTCACATATGGGAGCCAGAGGTTTCTTCTGGGGAGATGCATAGCCGGGGGCCAGGGGGCCGAATTGTGACCATGGGTGTGAGTTCGAGGTGGTGACAGCTTTGGGTGGACAGAGGGGCGCCTGGAGGTGTCACTGTGGGTTTGGGGTCTTGGGCTGTGAACTAACAGGGGACCCGTGGGGAGTGTGTCTGTGTGTATGTGTACCATGTCGTGGTCTGCACATGGTCACCTGTGTGGCTTAAGTTTGTCCTGGGCCCCCAGCTCGACCTCAGCCCTAGGTG